GGAGAGGAGTCAGGAATCCATCTCCAACCCCTCAGCACTCACTGCACCAACAGTTCTAGCTCCAACACCCCACTGGATGCTGGTTTCTTTAAGTCTGGAAAAAAAATCCTTTAAATAAAAGAAAGTTCTCTGAACTCCAGACCTCCAGCTGGAAAATCCCAGTAAGTGACAGATATTTCAGTCCCTGACTCGGTAGCTCACCAAGGAAAGAGTTTGTGACGCTTTCAAAATGTCAATTCCTGAGCAAAGCCAAGAAAGAAATAAATGCAGAGTAATTTTAAAAAGAGTTTGTAAGAAAAGGGAAATAGCTGATTTGAGTTATTTAGCAAAGAGAGGCTATTTCTTTGAGATTAGGTAGTTTAGGGTAGTTAGGAAATAACATTCAGAGTTTTCTGTCTGTTTTTATGGCCAGGGTTACCTCAGTTGTACTGAGCATCATGTAGAAGTTGTTCTAATTCTGTTAAAAGCTGAGTCACAAAATCCTGCTCTTTACAAAACCGACACTTTCTCAGTCTCTCTGTGCAGCAAATACCTTTCCCAGGCAAGAGGCTGTGGCAGCTATTTTACAAATAGGACCAAAACATTTGCTCTCCCATTTCTCAACCAAAATACTTCTGTGTTGAAAAGCTGAGAGGTGGTTTGGTTGTTGTGCCAGCCCTTATGGCAAGGATTTCAGGGTTGTTATTGTTCCTGCTTGGGACAAGGGAATGCCTCTAGAGTAGCCTTTGGGATAAGGACCTGATACCCTTGGTGGAATAGTCCTGAGCCCTTGGTGCCCACTGAGGGTCATGTCTGCACTTAGAATAGAATCATGAATGGTTTGGGTTGGAAGGGACATTAAAGCTCATCCAGTCCCACCCCCTGCCATAGGCAGGGACACCTTCCACTAGCCCAGGTTGCTCCAAGCCCTGTCCAACCTTCCAGGGATGGGGCAGCCACAGCTTCTGTGATGAAAATTCCTCCTTGGTGTAGGGGTGGGAAACTGCTGCTCCTGGCAATAGGCAGTTGGCTTTAAATAAAGCTCTGCTGGGTGAGAGATGCTTGTTTTGAAACAAGCAGAACAATGAGTTCATATGATGGCAATTGTTCAGGGCACTGCCACAAAGCCGGTACTAAGGTGGAAAGGAATCAATATTTCCATGGTTTTATGCTGAAAATAGAAAATGTCTGTTTTTACCATCACTACATGTTCAGTAATTCAGGTGTAGCAATGTCTAAACCTGCAGGGAAAGCCAGACAGCAAAAGTTCTGTGGAATGTATGGCCTTAAGCTGAAGAAAGGCAGGTTTAGATAGGACATAAGCAAGACCTTCTTCCCTGTGAGGGTGGTGAGGCCCTGGCACAGATTACCCAGAGAAGTTGTGGCTGCCCCAGCCCTGGAAGCTTGGGGCTTGGAGCAATCTGGTCTAGTGGAAGGTGTCCCTGCCCATGGCAGGAAGTATAATAAGATGAGTTTTAAGGTCCTTTCCAAACCAAACCAGTCTGTTATTCAATGAATTTCAGACTAACTAAAGAAAAAGGATCAGCTTGCAGCTCCCCCTCTGGTGTGATTTGGACTGACTGAAACACAGAGCTTGGTATAACTTTAGTAAAATAACACTGCCAGGTAAAGTGAGCTCTGTGGTTTTCCAGGTTTTGAAGAGTAGATGATTCAACAGCAGGATGAATAAATAATGAAGGAAAGTGAGATTATAAATTGTACTTCCTCATTTGAAAGGACTTGTCTCTTGATTCATCATTATAAATGTGTTACAAACTTCAGGTCATTTACAAAATAATAGAACACTTTAAGATTACCCTTAGCTTTATGTAAATGTAATTTTAATATTCTATCTTCATTAATTATCTAATCTTGGGAGCAAATAAACTCCTGACACAATTCTGTAGCTATTTTGCCAGCAGGATTTCCTTTGAAGTTGACGGCAGTTGTAAGAGGAAGTGGATGACAGGACTGAGCCTCACCGGCACTTTTAGAGGAGAAACTTAAACAGTAGCTGAAAATCCAGACTTCCTATGGGCACAGAGCTATTCCTGAACTGCCACATATTCATTAGTGCCAGAAAAGAGGTGGCATTTTATTCCCACTGCTCCCATTCCAGGGGTACGATAAAGGTTTCTTCCCACCCCCACACAGTCCTGCATTCTCTGCTTTGCTCTCAGTGCAGTCCTCAGCCCTGAATAGAGACCCAGTGGGGTTCAAGGGGCTGGAGTTGGACCTGGTGTATCTCTATAGCTCTACTTTCTCTCTATAGCAGGTTTAGACTTCAAATAATTTTGGGAGGTGGGTGTAGGTAAAGCCGGGCTCTGTGGAGCAGCATGAGCAGGTAAGCATCATACACAAATGTCACAGAATCATGGAATGGTTTGGGTTGGAAGGGACTTTAATGCTCACCTCATTCCACCCCCTGCCATCAACAGGGACACCTTCCACTAGACCAGGTTGCTCCAAGCCCTGTCCAACCTGGCATTGAAGCCAGTTCACAACCCAGAGCCAGGGAAGCCTGTGCAGGCTCCCACTTGTATCCCTACTCAGTGTCCCATTCCTGTGTCAATACAGGCAAATTAGCCTGGATGTTTTCTACCTTATTTTTAATTTCACCAGCTATATGCATATAAATGATCATATTAAAAAGAATTCATTAATAAGTCATATTTAGTTTCTTTAGAGCAAAACCAGTCCATTGGATAGAAAAGCACCAGGTTCAAAATCACCATCCGGAGCCCAACCAGCAGCAGGGCTGATAATGGTCCCCTCAGAGCTCATCAGCTGAGACAACAGATTTCCAAGTGTGAGCTCTGGCATTGCAGAACCCCAGGGCTATTCATTACATTTCCCACTTCCCCGTCTGCTCTCTGCAAGGTAGGGATGTGTATTCCAGGCTATCGCTGTCATTAATAATCTGATCCATGTCTTTCGATTATTTTAGTAATTACTCCACATAAAAAGACTACTGAGTATGATTACAAATATGGCTTTGTTTTGATTGTCTGCTTTGGTGGTGAATACCAGCTGCCTGAAATTCCTTGACTTTGTTTAACAATATAAATAATGTTCGCTGCGGTTTCTGACTGCCTTGCACTGACCCCAGGGGTATAAACTTAATAACACAACACTCTAATAAACTCATCTGCAAACTGTTCAAAGTTCAGAAATTAAACCTTATTTGCATACAAAAAACACATCAAAAGAACATTAAGGGCCAAATTCTGTTCTTTTGAAGATCTGCAGGCCCCACTTGCAAACAGCTGCTGCTCTGCCCATGGCCAGGAGAGCAGGATGGACCCCCGGCTTGGCCCATCACCTGCCATGATCAGGGGTTTCTTGGTGGCTGGCAGGGCTGGGCAGGGGCTCCCCAGAGCTGTCTGACCCCCAAATTCCTTGCTGCTGCCTGTATCGAGGCCAGGAATACCTGTGGCGCAGATGCTGCATTATCACCTCCTTGCTCCGTTTTTCCATCCCCAACACCAATTTGACCATTCCTGACTGGGAAAACACATGCACCTGCAGTAAGAAAATAGCATTATACATGGAATATCCCATGAGTGACCATACAGCTGGCCCAGAGCTGGTTGGAATGACCACTCCCCTCTGGACTCTCCAGGAGCAGACAGTGCCCAGCAGGTCAGCCTGCCCCGTGCCCACCGGCCACGAGGCACGACCAGGCTCCTGTGATCCTGGGAATATCCTGGCTGGAGGAGATGGAGGGTGGATCATCGGGCAGATGGGTGCTCAGGCTGATCTCCCGACGCCAGGCTGGTGGCACACAGTGAGTAACTCATCACTGCCACCACAGGAAGGAGCTCCAGCACTGCTCGTGGAGCAGCGCTCCGTGCTCCCTCAGAGCTGCACATACAGCTCTATTTGCTCTGCTCTGATTTCCTTCTCCTGAGCATCACCTCTCCACAGCTCAAATACTGCCAAGGCTCAGGGTCTTGGAGAAAGCTGAGCTCCATCCTCTCCTCACACTAGCAAAGGGAAACTCTGGGATGCAGCTCAGGCAGATGGGGAGGAACCTTGGCTGGTACGAACCTTGTTCCTGCTGGAAACCAGCCCTGCCTGGTGCTGGCAAAGCTACTTACAGGTATCTCACCGTATCTCCCTTCCAGGAGCGGGTGATTTGCAATTCTGAGTGAGTTCGAAGAAGACATAATGTTCTGTTTTATCTGCAGGGGAAGCACACAGCTTAACCTTTGCCAGCAGCAAAACTCTGGCTCAAGTATTGATCAGCCCTTTAGGAAATAAGTGAGGGCTCCTGACACCAGGATCCATTCACACCTGTTGGGATGGCATTTGGATTGGTCCTCAGTGAGCAACACCAGCTGAGGGGGAACCTCAAACAGCCATGGGAGAGTGAGCAGAGGACCTGCTGGAGGAGAATCAGGTGATTCAGAATCAGAATGAGTTTTGAATTCTAACCCCCACAGTTACTGGGCCACACCAGAAGCTCAGCTTCCTGTTCACCACTGTGACTATCCAACGGCAAACACGACCATGGACACCCACCCCAGACAAAGCCAGGTGCCTCAAAACCAGTTATGCCCATCCTGACCGATCCTAGCACCAGCTCTGACAGAAGGACCTTCTCAGAAGTGCCAGTGCTTTGGTGGAAATCCACAGCAGTAACCACGTGGGGGATAAATTAATAATTTGTGGGTGCTCAGAGGGGTCCACCTGTGCTTCCTCCCTGCCATTACTCACAGTTTCATAGAGTTACAGAAGGGTTTGGCTTGGAAGGGGCCCTGAAGACCACCCAAGTGTCCCTTGGCTGCCTTCCAGTCACCTCCAGTTGTAGCCTGATGCCGTGAAGTGTAAAACACAGGCAACAAAAAAAAAAAAAAAGGAATAAAAATACAACAGAGAAGTGTTTTTTCTATAAAAATGAAATTTGAATAAAAGTATGTTCATAAAATACATAAGTGGAAACCATGGGGTGTTTTTAGCCCCAGCGTGTTACAAAGAAAATTTTGGTTCCAGGACACCCCCGAAGGGGACAGACATTTATTTAGGAAACTGAAAAAGCACAAATGCAAAGCAAATTTAAAAATCAATTAGTTAAACCAAGGTTTCTCACTTTTTGATTTAAATCACGATTAAAAGCAGTTACTTGGCTGATTTCAATCAATCCACACCGTCTGTCTCAGCTGATCTCGAGCTGTTAAATAAGAACAGAGAAAATCATCGATAACCCATCTGTGTCACAGATGAGGAGCAACCCCAAGGGAACTGTTGCTCCCTGTTTCTCATGTGGTGGCCCCTGGATTTTTGAGGAGTGCCACAAGCCCAGAGGAAGCCACAAAAAAGAGTTTGTGCCTGCAGCTCTGTGACAGGAGACAGAAGTAGGGAAGGCTCACACAGTCAGGGTGTGTAACATATGTATTTACTCTCCCTAAACATAGCATAAAACATCCCTAAGTGACACTGGTGCAGTTAAGTTACACAAAAATTAGTTTTCCTGAGGGTACTATCCCTGCTTTGGGAAAATTTGCACAGGAATAAGGGCCAGCGATGGGGACAATGCACCTGCAGACAGCAAAAAACAGGAGGTCAGACATCGTGGAATAATTTAGGAAAAGTCCTCTATGATCATTGAGTCCAACCATCCACCCAGCACTGCCAAGACAACAAACAGAGCAGGGAAAAACTGCACCAGGGAGAGGAGGAAGAGCAGAAAAGCCCAGGGAAGTGAGTGGGTGCCGGGGCGAACGCCGGGCTCAGCCGGAGCTGTCGCGCCCGTCACGGAGCTGTTTCCCATGTTTGGGCAAATTCCCTTTAGGCTGCAGTTCCCCAGTTGTCTAATTGTCCTTGATGTATGTTCTCTCCCCCAGGAATGCCATCCAGACCTAGCAGCTCCAGATGTCTGAATATTATGCAGGAAGCTGGTAAACAAATTCCTCCTATTTTTCCTGCTAGCAATTAGTAACGTAGGAAGAACACATTGCTGAGCAGGCGAGGAACCCAGCACACATATTTCATATGCATTTAGAGCCACTTAACGCCTCTGGAAGGGTGAGGAACACTGAATACTGTAAATCTGTTCCATCACCCCTTGTTGCTACAAAAAAGTAAAAATAAGGAAAAAAAGCAAATGTTGAAATAAAAGTTAAAATTAGGACAAATTAGTGATTTCAACAGCTTGCAGAGTAACCATCAAACACTCAGGTGACAGAGCAGTTCTGCCACCTCCCCTCAAGCAGCTCTTTTAAATTATTTCAACTTTTTACCCCAACTTTAGCTTTGGAGGAAGTACCTGCCTGCTTCCCGTGCTTCCCCTCTCCATTAATTTCTTTGCCTGCTCCAGCAATCCTGCCCTAGGAGGGATGGCTTAGGTGGCTTCAGGAGTCTTTGCCAGCATTAATTGTTATGATTTTAGAGCCCCACAGGGTGAAGACTTTGAAAAGGAGAATTTGTTCCTAAGATTGGGAGGAAAATGAAAAAATCCAGCACCGTGGCCGTGCAAAACTCCAGCACAGAGACAGTGCTGGGAACACTGGGAAGAGAATTAAAGGTTTCCAGCTCAGGGGGTGAAAGGACAGCATTCGTGGAAAACACAAGCCACAGATCCACATGCTGGATTTTACCAGCTGTGGAAGTTTGGGAGCAACTGAATAAATTTTGCTGTGACAAAGATCTTTATCTGGTCTGGCTGCCCCAAAGTGATCTGTGCCATGGCACTTTCTGGGGGAATTATGCTTGTCTCTGTTAGGACTAAACTGAGAGCTCTTCTTAGCTAAAAACACAACTGCAGCATATTCCTAAATAAACAGCTGTCCCAGAGGGAGTTAACCATGTTTTAGGCTTTTTTTCAGTCTTATGAAATATGTATTGCCCCAAGTCATGGGAAAATCTAGGAGACAGAGGCAGCTCCTATTTTGCACCTTCAGAGTGTTTGGCATATTTTTGTTCTGGTAACTGTGAAGAAAGTCTCCTTTCTGACACTTTTTGGCATTGCCCTGCCCAAACAGTGAGCCCCAACCAGTGCTACAGATCACATGCTAAATTCAAGGCAAGCAGGAGGTGGTGCCACAATAAATGGCTTTACTGATCTCTTCATGGTGATTTATCAACCCTCTACAAGCATCCCAAGCCCTGGACAGGGTTATGGACAGTCAAGGCTCTCAGCCACAGCCTTCCACGTGCAGCGCAAAGGTGAGCACTGCATTTTCAAAGCATCTTTTGATCCCATTTTATATTTTTCCCCTAAATAAATGGGTTGGTGAGGCCCTAAATGGCCTGCAGTGTTATGGACTGTCCATGTATCCCTTGGTCAGTGCTGGGAGCCAGGCAGAAAGGGTTTAGTGCCACCTCTGCTTAGGAAAAGGGTGTAGGAAACCCGACCCAGGGCTTTTCAAGCCTTCTCAAATGAAGGTTTAAAATAGCCCCAGCAACCTGGTGAGTGACCTCAGTAGCTTAACAAGTCCTCTCAAACCAAGAACTAAGAGAGGAGCACGAGAATGAAGTTACTGAGCAAAATGTCTACATTGAGCACTTCACAGGCGATGCTCAGAACCCCCTCAGTGCTCTCAAACACCAGCTCTGCAGAGGTTATTTAGAGATCTCTTTGCAACTCATTATCCTTAAGCAAAAATAAACTGCAAACATGCAAAACAAGTGTCCATTTGCTATTTTCATCATCTCTCCTTCCTCTGGCTCAGGTGTGTGTGGAGCATATACCTGTTGGAGGACTAAGATCATTCCTGCTCCTTACTGCGATGAAGGAATTAAATACAAAATCTTCTGTAGGAAGCAATTGTGAAGTGTGGAAGTTTCTAGTCAGGCAAATAAATTGGATTTAAGTATATTACAGTCATAATCTTTTTCTGCCTCTCTCCAGACAGCCTTTGTACATGGAGAAATGAGAATGTATTCTCAGACAAATCTTGACCTGAGGGAGAAGGCTGCGGGAATCTGGATTTTCAATAACATAAGACAATAAAGCTCAGACTTCTAACCTGCCGCAATATGGTAAAAGTATAAAGAGCTTAGCAACTAATAAAAGAAAAGGGTCTTCCAACTCATATTTGAAGATCTAGACCCCCAAAAGGACACTTCATAAAGATCATAATGGGTTAGTCAGTATCTAACAGATACCATGTACCTTGTTGACCAATTGTCTGACAGTTGTCTTCTGCAGGCCTGGATATTAATAAGCCTTGTGTTGATTTCCTTGGGGTATTTTGTCTTCGTAATTGTACATCTACTTGTTGTGACACTGCAGCTCGCTATATATTTATTTAATGTGATTCCTATAGCAAAAAAAAAAAAAAATAAAAAATAAAAAAATCAGTGGATGTATGGCATTGTTTCCCTCAGATGAGATGCACACACTGCAAATTTCCTCTCCCTTCGAGCTGCGGCGAATCAAAGCTGTGCCAGGGAAAGGGAGAGCTCCCGGTCTTGGGGCAAAGAGGAAATCCAGATGTGTTTTCCCCTTAGGTGTGAATATGTCTTACTCCTTGCATTACACAGGGAATATAAAGGGATTCAATTATCGCCGCATTTTGATTTCTAATAATAACAAAAACTCCTTCTAGAAGGGATTCCATTAAATAATGTTTTGACAGATAATGCTGGTGTAAAGTAGCTGTCAGTCACACAGCGAGATCAAGGGAAAACAGATGCACGAGGCAGATCACAGAGAGGCTTATAGAGTGAAAATGAAGCCTGTTCCAAACTCCTCTCACTAACAAAACAAAGGCTGCCTGTGGCCTGATCCTGCTCTCAACCATGTTTTGTGCAGCTACTGAGCAAAATGCAAATATTTAGAGATTGCCTGCGAGAGATAAATTGCAGTTTTCCATAGATTCTCAAATATAGGAATATTTAAAGAGTTCTGTGTTTGTAGCTCCCTCGGTCATACCAGACGTGGCCTCACCACTGTAACACCACAAGACAGGGGGAGGAGTGGTGGCTGTTGGGTCCTTGGCCAAACTACCCCTCTTCCCTGCACCTGTCCCACTCCAGTTCCTGGCCAGGACACTGTCCCTGGCTTTCAGAGAGACTGCTCATACTGATGCAAGTCTGAAAACACCAGGTTTACCCAAATATCACCTTTACTTGTCCCTGGGAACAAAGCTCAGCCCCCATTTGTTGCTTGGCCCATCCCTTCCATGGTCTGGAGAATCTGTAGCTAAAGGGAACTTCCTTCCTTTGTCCCACCTTCATCATCATCATGGAATCACAGACTGGTTTGGGTTGGGAGCTACCTTAAAGACCACCCAGTTCCACCCCCTGCCATGGGCAGGGACACCTTCCACTCTCCCAGGTTGCTCCAAGCCCCATCCAACCTGGCCTCAAACAACTTCACTACATTCCCCTTAAAGTTTATCCTGGGGTGAAATATTTCCCTTTTGCTCCAAGTTCCCCACAAAATCTCACACAAATGCTTTGTCACAACCCTCTGCCTTCCACTAACTCACCCTGGCTGTGCTGATCCCAGTTCCCAGCCAAAACAAGCCCCTCAGGGCAATTCCTGCTGCTGTTGCCCATCTCCTGGGGTCTCCGTGTTGTGCCTCCAACACAGGATCAACAGAGATAAATGGAACAACAGAGTGGAGGGAGCCTGTGCTGGAAAAGACAGAGTATAAAAATTAAGAATATATTGATTTGTAGCAACATCTAAAGTCACAGTAGACTGTGAAGTGAGCAGCTGCCTAATGAAGAGGGGTCTGCAGGTAACATTTCCATACCTGATCCCGGCATATCCTGGGATAAGATAAATCATGGGAAATGAGAGGAATACCAGAGATGTGTTTCAAGGCATTTGCTTAGGGGACAGATTAAATTACAACTAATTATAATATTTAAAAATAAATCTCCAAACTTTCCATATGAGCTCTGAAAGAGCTCATTGAAAACTCTTAACTATAAACTATGTTCACAAGTTACTCAGCTTTTAAAAAATAGACTTGATTTTTTCTATTGCTAAAATTATCCTGGAGCTTGAGCACAAAGTTTAAATATGGGATTAAGAAAGGAAATACACACACAGAAGGGTCACTGCTTTATTCCCTGGCAACTCATGAGTCAGGAACAGGAAATCCAAGCTCCCTCTCCCAAATCACCTCCCCCACCCAAGGGTGCTGTTCCAGAGTGGCGATGAGGCCAACCCAGGTCACAAGCAACTGTGTGACACCCAGGAGATTCCTTAACCTGCTCTAGAGGAATGTTATCTTCAACTAAAGTGTTTTAACTTAAAATTTTCAGGTTTTGGATAAAATTTCAGTTGGAGAGGAAAAAAAAAACAAACCTGAAAATAGCAAAAGTTTCTAGAAGGAAGAAATGAAGTGCCAAGGGATCTGCTCCACCACCTCCATATTCCTCCAGCACCTTCCCACCAGTGATATGGGTAAAAATACAAATATTTATAGAAGACAATTAGCCCAGGTGATAAGGGGAGGTTATTATGGGGTGTTATGCTCATGGGAAAGTGCTGGAAATTATGGGGTAAGGCAAAGGAATAATCTAGCTGGATAATCCCAACAAAAACTGCTTCCGGACTGTGCAAGAGCCAAGGAAAGTGGGAAATGCTTCTTTTTAAATGGATTATTAATCTAGAGTAGTCTATAGCTCAAAGCATTGTGAGTGCTTGACGTAGGGTCAATAAACCTGTGTTTTTAAGATAGATTCTAATAAAATGCTTTCCTTTAAGCATTCAGGATTAGTGACAGGAGGATGCTCTGCCCCTGGATCCTCTGCATTGGACAGCACATGGCCTTGGGCACCAGTGAGCTGCTTATTCATTTGTCTTTTTTTAAACACTCAGACAGAGTTACAAGATAAGACACAAGTGTAACTAAACTTAACAAGCATCTAATTTTATCCTTTGTTTTGCTTGGTAAACATCAGCTTACAAAGTCAGAGCAGAGAGCTGCGGCTACCCTTGGGAATGAAAAAATATAATTATTTACTACAAAACATACTGGATTTTAGTGATTTTGGGGTGACTTCATGAAACTGTGGCTGAAAAGTTTTGTTCCCCCCCCCCCTTTACCTGAAGTTCATTATCTAAATAAATTTCCATAAATGCCTTTCTCTGAACAAAACAACAAATGGGTTTTACTTTCCCCCCAAAACTCATTTGGACTCAGGAGCTCCCAAGCAGCCCCCATTCCATGGGAATCAGGGCTGTACACACACAGGTTTTTGAGCAGAATTATGCCAAAAAATGAATTTTAATGCCCCAAAAGTGCTGAAAATGAACAAAATTCTGCACAAAAATTTCACTTGTGGAGCCCAAGGTATGATCAAACCTCCTGTGACTGAACTAGACAGAACATGGGGAAAATGTCCCATCCCTGTCAGCATCCAAGGCCAGGTTGGATGGGATTTGGAGCAACCCGGTCTAGTGGAAGGTGTCCCTGCCCATGGCAAGGGGAGGGACCGGGTGAGCTTTAAGGTCCCTTCCAACCCACACCAACCTGGGATTCTATAAAAACCTTGATCACTTCAAAATCACCAGCAAGTTCATTCAAAGCAGAACTCCTGGAATTTGGTGTGCTGTGATTCTGGGAATGCTCCTGGTTGGAGCACAGGCACAGACAAACACAAGCCTGTGCCTCAATACTTGATTTATTTGTCATTTATTATGTTATTATCACTTTATTTATCATGTATTTTAGGCATTGTGCTGCAGCAGCAGCACTGGCTCCTGCAGGCTGCCCATCATCTCTGACTGTGTTTCACTGACCTACAACTTTTACATCTACATTTTCAAGCTGATATTTAACTTGAATGATCAAATCCAGTATTTTCTGGCTCTCTGACAATGTTAAACCAGATCAAGGTGCTGCACTGGGAAATGGACTGTCATATCTCCTTTTCCTTCTCTATTCCAGCACTAAAGTTGCATTTAGGACCAAGTGCAGGGATCTGTGGTCCAGCAGCTTAAAAGACCCAGGCACTTGCTGGAGGAGACAGAGGGAAACAGTCTAATGTGCTCTTGCCATGTGGTAATTTTCCAGATAAATGGACAGTTGCTTCAGCAGCTCCACTGTTGAAGGTCAATGATCCATATAATACGGGCAATTACGGAAGTATTTCCATTGCAGACTCGGTGACAAATTTTTAGTGCAAGACAACAGATAAACTGGAACAGCAGCACCAGAATGAGGGCATTGAACTTGGAATCCTACACCCCAACTCCTGTCTGGTGTTCGCTGGAGGGATCAGCTCTCCATCCCCAGCTCACCTGATGATTTTCTCCATATTTTCTTATTTTGGCATTTCTTAATCTAAAATTACTTAATATTGAGCCTAAATTACCACCACCTGGCTTTCACACAGCCCACTTTTCCTGCCTTCTAGTTCAAAGTCAAGCGCTTGGCTGTTTTATGAAGATTCTCTAGGGCTGAAGGGGGAAAAAAAAATTAAAAAAAAATCAAATAAGGGAAAACTCCTCAGCAATTTGAAAACCTGGGCTCCCGGCGGAGGCACAAACATAACCATTTCTAATTGCCTTTTAAAGCAAGGCAGAAAGCATTTTCAGGAGTGTGTTCTGCTGGTACTCTGACAAACACCACACACGAGGCTGGCTGGAATCACAGCTCACCTGCTCATGGTTCATGAAGATTCCAAGCAAAACATGGGTTGAAATAAATAATTGTTTTGTGTAATGAGGTGTGCACGAGGTCTCTGGTGACAGGACCAAAGGGAACAGCTGGAGCTGTGTCAGAGGAGGGTTAGGTTGAATATTAGGAAAAGGTTCTTCCCCCAGGGAGTGGCTGGGCACCGAACAGGCTCCCCAGGGCATGGCCCCAACACTCTCAGAGCTCAAGGAGTGTTTTGACAACACTCTCAGGGATGGGGTGGGATTGTTGGGGCGTCCTGTGAAGGGTCAGGAGTTGGACTAATGGTCTGTCTGGGTCCCTTCCAGCTCAGGAAATTCTGTGATTCTATTAAGTAACCGCTCATACCATGGCATGGGCTGTTTCAGCACCACTTGCATCCCAAAAAGCCCAGGCCCTTCCTGCACAGTGTTACAACATGCCATGAGAAATCAATTCCAAACCCTTGAAAATATTTCTGAGCATCCCAGAGTCCCTCCCTGGCAGCACCGACAGTTCCAGCTCAGAGCTTGTAAAAAGCAAAGAGGTTCTTGCACCTTCAGCATCTGCTTATAAACCATCTACACACACCAAAATGTAAAATATCCAGGTGCCCTCAGCCATCCAGGGGCTGGGGAAGTTTAACGATAAACACATAAGACCCTGAAAGACTTTTGTGATTTCTGATGGGAATACATTAAACCTGTGGTAGTGCTTCCCTTGTGGATTGTACTTCTGTTTCAGTTTCAGTTTACTGCTGCTTTTCCCTATCGTGTAAGAGACAGAGTGCCATTTCATTCCACCAAAATGAACGGGAAACATCCGTAAAGAGCAGCCTTAATGGTGGAGGAATTCACCAGGGACAGCCTTTGGAGTTGTTCAAGAACCTATTTCAAAATTTAAGCAGATTTTGCTAAAAGGAAAGAGAGAAAAAAGAGACTTGAAATGCTGGAATTTAACCTTCATGTAGAAAATGAAAGAATGTTTTCAGGAACACCCGAGGCAGAAGCCATCCCTCCCTCTCTCCCTCCCTCCCCACAAGCAGGAGCACTTGGCAGAAGCCAGGACTGACACAGGAACCATTCCTTGTGCAAATAAGTGATTTTGTACAAGATTAATTAGTAAGGGGAGACGGTTTGGGATATCTTATGAGGTCAGTGGCTCATTTATGAAATACGCAGTGATAATCCACAGCCATGGAAGAGCTGGATGATCAGCAGATCATTGACTGGTTCAGGTTGAAAGGGACCTTTAAGATCACCTAGTCCAACCCCCTGCCATGAACAGGGACACCTCCCACAAGACCAGGCTGCTCAGATCTTGCAGTATTAGCACTGACTTGTGTTTCTCAAGGAGATAAATAGGGATGGGACAGTCCAAGGGCCGAGTTCCTCCTGCCCACCAGCATCAGATTGAAACAACCAGGAAAGAGCTCTCCCTACAAACACCCCAATCAATAAATTCATGAGTTACATATTTTTGGACGTCAGGAAGAATTTCCTCATGGAAAGGATTTTTAAATATTGGAAGGGGCTGCCCAGGGATTGGTAGTGGATTCCCCATCCCTGGAGGTGTCCAAGGAATGACTGGACGTGGCACTCAGTACGCATGGCTGGGTGACAAGGTGGGGATCGAGCACCAGGTGGACTCAATGGGCTGGGAGGGCTTTTCCATCTTTAATAATTCTATGATTCTACATCACTGCCTTCCTGGAAGTATCACTGTGCCAGGCTCCTGAGGAACTTCTGTAACGTACAGTTAACATATCTGATGTCTAATCCAGCAAAATAAGGTAGGTGGGTTTGGCAAAGCTTCATCAGGAGAATCTCTTTTGAATTGCATGAATGCCAGTGTCTAAGATTTTTTAAAATCACTGATTTATCATTGATCTATCGCTGTTGTGCAGAACAGATACAGCAAGTCCTGCATGTTTGCTCCAAACTCTTCTCAAAGACATATTCCAGACAATGACATGGAAAGGATAAATTTATTCTCTCTAATGTGAGCTGAGGCCACTAATGGGAACTAAATACACTGATTTTCCCTGTCCTGGGCAGCAGCTCATTGGACAAACACTGTTCCTGTTATGTACACAAAAACTCCTCCCCTAAAACATCCCCCAACCCTGTTTTCTCTTGTAAAAATTATGTAATTGCATGTTGGT